CTCTGGCTAACAGGTATTGACCAGTCAAGCTAGTTTTTGCCTTTTGTTCAAAATTAGAGAGAGTGAGGGCACAACTGTGTCGAGCATGCAAAACAGATGCCGTAAAGGGCTGGGTGCCTGGCTACAAATCCACCCTGAGGGCAATTACCGGGTGCACAAAGGCAAAAAAGCCCCCCCACCCAAACAAAAAAAAGGATTAACATATGGAAATGTTTGTTTTCTAGACTCACATGCATTGGTTCAGCTTGCTGTTGAGGAAGCTGCAAGAGGTAGAAGTTGATCTCATGACAACCTGCATGTCATCTGACAGTGTTGTGTTGTTGTTGTTTTTTCTTCACAGCCACCATCCCCAGATGACTTGTCTATTGTGTGTTTCACCAGTGGAACCACAGGTAGTAAATGTTTCTGATGTTATAGAAATATCATATGTGTCACATTTGCAGTTTGTGATATAAAAATACCCCATTATTAAGTAAGAAGTACATAGGATTTGTATTCTCATCAAACTGTGTTGGCCAGTGACTCCAGCGGCAGGTCACAGGTAGCGCTTTTTCAAACATTTCCTGTTAGAAAACAAACAAACAAACAAGGTTAAACTGTTTGGACTTATTCCACAGCAAGGAGGTTTATCACACATAAACCACAAGTCTTGTGTTTTCTAAGAGCTTTCTGAGTGCAAAGCATGTGCCACTGCCTGTGGTCAATATGAGGAGTGTGACAGTTCCAACTGGGATCAAGAATGCTTACATTAAAAGCACTCACAGTGCTCAGTGCTGCTTATAAGCCACGCAAATAATAATAATAAAACAGTGTTGGCCTTTCAAAATGCCTAAACTAACTAACTTTAGATGTTTAACATATGCTTTCACAGAGTATTGTTTAAACACTTTAAGCGCTAAAATTATTCAAAGCAGTGAAGTTTTCAAAGCCTTAAAGATAAAGGTGCACAGGAGACATGATGCTGGTAAGTTATTAAAAAGTCAGTCCACAGTGCAGTTTATTGTAACTCGTGTTGTGCAATTTCTATTTACTTTACTTTGAACTGTATCATTTACTGTAAACCCAGGTTCTTCACTGCAGCACAATAATCCAGTAGTGAGAGAATCATTAACCCGTTCCCCTCCCCAACCTCCTTCATTACATAAATGTCATGGCTTAGGCCACAATGCTCCCACAGCACCATCGACCACCTAAACCAACAGTAGGAGGGAACAAAAACAGGGTCATGTGAGGACCCACTAGTGTCAGATTGCAAGTTGCAGCTCCCGCTTCCGCGGTCTGTTGAAAATCCTGCCTCCTGCTGGCGGTAATGACAAACACATGCAGGCACTCCAGCAGAGGATTCGTTTTCCTCACATCACTCTCCGTTTCTCGAGAATTCCCTCCCGCGCTGTTGCGACATCTAGTCTACACTGAGCGTACAAGATTGCTTACAGCTGTTTGAGTCAGCTGACATCTCAGAAAGAGGAACCTTAGTTTCTAATAACCACTCTGTTTAAAATCATGAATTAAGGACTGGGAATGAGAATAAGATTAAGAGGGCATTACAGTAACAGAGAGTACTGTTTTTTCAGTGTTTATTAGGAAATGCCAAGAGAGGAGGAAAAAAATAGGAGAAGTTGAGGTTGAAACTGTGATGTAATTATTTCTATATGCTTTAGAAATAAACCATGCAGTTTGCAGACTGGCATGTGTTTTTGCAATATTCATAATACTGGATTCTGTTTAATAACCTAATGTATAAGATGCTGTGTTAACACGACTCGTTTCTGGCTTCCAAGTCATAAATAAAATTCTGCTGAACCAGGTCTGTCTTTCCAAGCCAAATTCCTTTGGTGTTCACTTGGATGACTATGTGCGCCTAGTGAGGAAATGTGTTGTGAAATCTGTTGGGCAATTTCATTATAGGTTTTTTTTTTTCCTTCTGTTCACACAGGAAACCCAAAAGGAGTCATGCTCACCCATGGAAACGTGGTAGCTGATTTCTCAGGCTTCCTTAAAGTAACAGATGTAAGTCACCCTCTCCTCTCTGAACCTATGCTCAGGAAATGTTTCACACCTATCTCCCAGTCGTTTATGGTCTTTTGCTCAGTGATTTATTAGCCTGGTTGCAACGTGTTCATTTTCTCGTCCACACAAATTCTTGAAAATCCGAGTTGCTGTGTCAAAATAGCATCTTTAACTCATTTGACTGTGCCTCTTGTGTGTCCTGCAGAAAGTAATTTTCCCCAACCAAGATGACTGCCTCATTTCCTTCCTGCCACTGGCTCACATGTTTGAGAGACTTATTGAGGTAAATGTGCCGAACTGTCATCTGCAATCACACTAATGGGATAGTAATGAGCTGAAGGATGTTTGTGGGGGAGGAGGAAGGAACTTCCTGTAAGAAGTATGACACTGAAGGTGGGCACTAATTACTGTAAGATTGGAAAAAAGGGAGAAAGAAACCACCCCAACTTTTCCTTCCCTGTCATCAGTTTTGCTTTCCATCTCTACAAAAAAAATTGGCATTCCTGGACTTTATGGCAAGTGAAGGCACGTTGCATCATTTCCTAGCCCAGTGAAACACACACACACACACACACAGATGACAATCTTCATTAATATTCGTAAAAGGTTTGATGATCAGTAATCAGTTTAGGTTACTCAAAGACAACATCTGCATGCGCCGAACAGCTGATTTACTATAAAAGCAGCGGTTCCCTGCAGCCTGCAGGTCACTGATAGTATTTCTCCTTTGCCCCGCAGGTGAGCAGAATTTCAAAATAAGTTTCTGTGGAATATTAGGACTGGCAAACACTGTAGGGTATTGCAGTAAGCTTTACAAAGAGCCCACTGTCTCCTGCCTGTGGAAAAAACAGAGTTTCATTTTCATTTTTAGTCACAGTCTTTGTACAGTTACCTTTCCGCCCATCCTTCCACTGGGATGCTTCCTCTGTCTAGAGGTTTTCATAGGCACATCTCCCACAAGAAACCCTGGGCATGTTCCTGCCAAGAAATAAGGAGTGTTTTTTTAAATTAGATGTTTATTTACATGTTACTTACAATAAGCTCTATAGCTTCCTTTATGCTCTCTATGCCATCTCTTTCAGTTATATGCCAGATGTTATTTCAGGCCTTAACTAAAAGCTGACAGAGAAGAGAGCAGTTACAGTGTAGACCTCAGTGAGGTAAAGTGGCAGTAACTTGTGGCCCTTTACTAAGAAGCTCCGAGTGTGTGCTTTTGCTGCTGCTCATTAGTAACTCTGGATTCATCTTCAAGCCTAACAGCAAATATTAAAAGGTGATCAAATCTAAATTAAGTTGGGCAATAAATGTGTAGATTCAACTTAGATCATTTTTGTGTTACACATGGGTGTGAGCGGTTAGGCTGCATCAGGTTGAACCTGTCTGGTAAGCTGCTGCTAGCAGCACGTTTGTAGACAGCGTGAGACTCAGACACAGGAAACCACCTAATCTTCCCAGAGAGCAAATACACCGGATCACAAAATAGAGCTCAAGTTCAACAGTCGCAGACAAACACAAACACACAGCTCTATATCTGATGCTGGCGAAGTCTCAGTCAAAGAGAGAACACAAGGCAGCCCCCGTGTTTTGCATGTCCTTAGATGGCTTTAGAAACCGGAAAGCAGCCACTTGTGGTGCCCTTTTTTTTTTCAGTTTGACAACAAAAGGAGGCGCGCTGAGTTGATAGTCAGTTTGTGGAAGTGTCACAATCTGCATATGATCTAGAAAGAAGCATGCGGTGGTGTAGCCGCATGAGAACAAGAACTGTGAAATGAACTTGAGCATTTAGTAATCCTCTTTCAAACACTTGGTGTATTTCTATGGGACGCAGTTCTGGAACCCAAAAGTAAATCCTCACTGCGTAATGACTCACTTTCTCTGCTGCTAACTATAATTATTAGAGGTAACACAAAGGAGTCATACCTGCACTAATACAGATTGTAGTGTTACATAGCAATAAATCAAGTCGGGTTGTTTAAAGCCACTTGAAACAAAACAAAACAAAACAAGGCTGCCCATCATCTCTCCACGCCTCGTCCAGTCTGGACTCATAGTTACTGGAACGATGACATCACACGTGACACTCTCTTCTATTTCACTCACCTTGAGCAGCTGCCAGAAAAAAAGATAAAACTCCACTTGGACCAACTATAACTGTAAGATGCTGTGTAAGCACTGACTAATCATAAGTGAGTCATGGGTGCTATTTTTCCCCACAACCAACCACTTTTTCATTAATACTTCAGACACATTTATCTGATAAGATCTCTGCAGAGGTGTTGCCTGAACATGCCTTGGAGCCATTTTCCATTTTTTTTATACCCTGTACTGATGTTTTTACTCAGCTAAATGAAAGTCTTCCACGACTAACGTCTTTACTACATTATATTTATCATACAACGTGTGTAGACCTTTGTTTGAGCGTAGGTTCTGACATAATGAGAGCAAGATCATGTGCATGACAACTACCGAAATAAACGTGCAAGCTATGAAGTTCCTCTTTTTGCTAAATGACATTAAATGAGTTGCGACTGTGGGAAAAACAAGCCTTCCGACAAGTATGATGACTGGTGCAGCCAGTATTTCACACGGGTGCCCCTCAAGGGCCAGTTTTGGTTTTCTTTATCAGAATTTACCCATTAGTGATGCTTCTCTTATCATCTGTATTACAGTTAGGCGAATGAGGTATTAAATGTTATAGAAACCTCCCTTATGAGTGTTTGCCAACATTATTTATTGGTAATAATGTGACTTTATTTTTAATATTTCATGATTAAAGTCTCCACTTTCAGTGCTGGCATTTTGTCTGCAATGATATCAGAAAGTTAGGAGTGTTCATTGCTCAGTTGTGTTATATATGTCTGTCTGCAGTCTGTGGTGTACTGTCACGGAGGACGGATTGGGTTCTATCAGGGCGACATCCGTCTCCTCCCAGACGACATGAAGGCCCTGCGGCCGACCATTTTCCCCGTGGTGCCTCGACTGCTCAATCGCATGTATGACAAGGTGAGATGAACAGATACCAAGACTGCTTTTGTTTGAAGCTGTTGTTAGTTCTGACTGAAGCAACCTGTCCATTCCACTTAGAATTACAAAAGATGTTTGGTCCTCTAACAGGAAAACAAACACCTAAACTGGCAAATTTTACAGTTTAAATGTGAATGTAGTTTCCTCTAACTCTCCAGCATATACCATTAAATCGAGTCTGCTCAACCCTAGAACCTCTAAATTTTAAAGAGAGCCATTAGGGGGCAATAATGTGAATGGTGGCTATTTGTTGGTGTTTCTTGCTAGCAGATCATTTTGCTAATTATCTACATAAATAGCTGGACGTGTTTTAACCGCTATATCAGCTGAGACAGGGCTGTCGTCAACTAAGAAATGTGTGTTTTCGCTTTGTTACCAGATTTTCAGCCAGGCAAACACCCCGTTAAAGCGTTGGTTGCTCAACTTTGCTGCCAAGAGAAAAGGTGCTGAAGTCAGCAGCGGGATCATTCGCAGCGACAGCGTCTGGGACAAAATCTTCTTCAGTAAGATTCAGGTAAACGGTGTTTCCAGCCCCTAAGCACTGTGCTACTATGGACGGACTCTACAGCTGTTCTTATAGCCATGCTACATCATATTATATATGCTAAGCGTGGTTGTGAAAAAATGAATTATGATCCATTTTGATATCAAAGTTACATTTATACATATATTCCGGTGTGTTTTTAAAGAGAGAAAAAAACAGTTGCATAACTATCATAAACAAGTAGGTTAACAGGACAAGTAGCAGTGAAGGACTTTTACACCCAGACGTACTTCATTGTTGCGTTTAAGCCTCTTGGTATTTGTGATAGTTATGGAACTTACCTTGAATGTCAGTCGTTCCCCTTATTGTTACTACTTATTTTAACCATCCTTGATTAAAATCTCTTAAGATCTCAACTAATCTCCTTCTTCAGGACTGTGTTGGTGAGAATGTGTTTGCATTTTATTAGCCATGCACTCAATCAAACAGTCTTTGTCCTACCAGCTCAGCAGTGATTTAATCTCAGTTTATTGAGGTGTGCACGTAACACTCCTGTGAATCTAAAAGTAAAAAGTCCAAAGTGGCACATGTGAGTAAGGCTAACTTTGTACAATGTCCCGACTTCTTGTCCTCACATTGTTCGCACGTCATGTGTGAAGGTCAGAATGTGACAACATCCGGACTGGTGCCGTGAAGCTTTGTGGTTTATTTTTAAAACAGAAAATAATGTATTTACAATGTGTTTCTGCAGGCTAGCTTGGGAGGAAGGCTGAGGATGATTATAACAGGAGCAGCTCCTACCTCACCCACTGTCCTGGGATTTCTCAGAGCAGCTCTAGGATGTCAGGTCAGACCCATTAAGTGCACCCTTATTTCTCTAACAAGCCCCTGTGATATGAGAGTAGGTCTAAACCCTTAACCCTAACCATAACTTTACAACTGTCAAGTTGTTTGCTGTCAGTAATTTTACAGATTTTGATTCACAAGCTAACATCTACATTTGCTTCAACATCACGTGTGTCTGCGTGCAGGTGTATGAGGCATATGGCCAGACAGAGTGCACAGCTGGCTGCACCTTCACCACACCAGGAGACTGGACCTCAGGTAGGCGACAGTGATTGTGCAAGCATGTAGAAGACAGATCACAAGACAGATGTATCCTTATCTGTCTTTGAAGCACTGAACCTGTTTACGTGACTCAGTTCAAAGGTCTTAAAGTGTTAAAAATGGGTTATGATTTTAAGGAATGACGTGCAGTTTTGAGCTGATGTGATGGCATAGACCCTCAAGGAGTATCTGTTTTGCACCCAGGTGGGAAAAAAAAGCATAGGCTGAGAGTGTGTGGGAGGCTGAGGAAGAAACGACTAAGGAGAGTACTGTTAAAAAAAAAAAACAAGTCTGGAATTGTGAGCAAGACAGGGAGGAAATAGCTGTTAGGTCATATTGCAATAGTTAACACTGCCAGTTTAGGTGATTTCCAACAACAACAAGCTCAAATAAAAGACCAATATCTGCTATAAAGACCCGTTTTTACCCTCCAGATTGGGTGTATTGTGGCTGTGTTATTTTCAGCAGTCAGGCATTGCAGGTATTTTCCAAGTAACCTCTATGCATTCATATATGCGTGAAGCTCTATTCTGATTGGCTGTCTAAGTCAGTATAATGTGGATCTTTCTCTGAGAGAGAAATATATTTGCTGCACGCAGTTAAGAGACAGTTGAAGTGAAATAAAGTGCTGATTTTCATTTTAATTACTCATTTTCCTTTCCTAGTTCAAAAGTAATTGGATGTTTTTCATACATAGGAAAAAAATATACACTGTTCCCTTTTAACAGTACAACACAAATGCAGAACAACAACAAGACTGTACAAACAACAAAAGTGACAAGTTAACAATAGAAAAAGAAGGCGGAAAAAAAGCACATGTGCATGAATGCATGAAGCCATGGGGCAGGTGTTATGCAGGGGTGCGCGTCTGGATCGCTGGGTGGGTTTGCTAACAAACATCAAGGGTAACACAAAAGTCAAAGAAAAAGACTAATATTATTTAAAATGATGTTAAAACTGCTCAAATAAATCTAAATTATACTAAATTTAAAATGTTATTACAGCTAAAGAACTGAACATGAAGCACAGAAAAATAGGCTCATATTATTATTATTACATTATCTTAAAGTAATCAACTCAAAACCTCCTTTTTGAAAAGTAAAAGCTTTCCCTGTGTTTATGGCCACATATTTTTTGAATTGATTGTATTGCATAAACGAAGGTCTGAATGCAAACAAATGTACTCTCAAGTGTCAACCTATTGTGAGACAGAGCTTCATAATACAGTCAAGCATCACCCCCTGCTGTTCACTTCTGATAATTCACAGATATCTGTAACGCCGTCCCAAATGATGACGACTAGTTTTCCTTTAGATTTAATTAGTCAGTAAAAATATCGTTAATTAAACCACCTTTCCTCCTCACATAGAATTGATGCTCAGTGTTGAGCATTTTATCAATTTGTAGTCCTCCTTTTTGTTCAACAGTGGAAAGTGAGGAAGGAAATCGAGGTGTTGTGTTTCTAATGTTTCTTCTTGTACTGACCAACAGGCCACGTTGGGGCTCCGCTGCCATGCAACCTCATTAAACTGGTGGATGTACCCGAGAAGAACTACTTTGCCTCCAAGGGAGAGGGAGAGGTAAG